AACCCTAAACCCTAAACCTTAAACCCTAAACCCTCAAAAGCCCCGAAAGCCCTTAAGGAATGCCTTGGAGAGCTTTCCGGCCTTCGCCGCGGCCGTGATCCTTTGCAAGCGCCTCGAATAGCCTTAGAACCTGCCCAGGACCCTAGACTCCTAGACGGTAAAAGCCTGTAAGGGTTTAGGGTTTAGGGTTTAGGGTTTAGGGTTTAGGGTTTAGGGTTTAGGGTTTAGGGTTTAGGGTTTAGGGTTTAGGGGTTTAGGGGTTTAGGGGTTTAGGGTTTAGGGTTTAGGGTTTAGGGTTTAGGGCTTCGGGCTTCGGGCTTAGGGCTTAGGGCTTAGGGCTTAGGGCTTAGGGCTTAGGGTTTAGGGTTTAGGGTTTAGGGTTTAGGGTTTAGGGTTTAGGTTCTAAACACCCCATAAGCCCTATAAACCCTAAATCGTTGACCCGAAGAATCAGTCGCAAACTGCCCGGAACCTGCAAGTATCAAGGGATGCAGACTCGGACCACTAAGGTTGCACCCCTACAGGTTCCCTGACTACACTCCTAATACGGTCCTTATATTCCCTTAGGGATCCATAAACAGGAACCCCAAAACCCAAGGGTACAACCTTAAGGGTCCAAGGCAGAAACCCTACACTGCAAGTACCTGCAAGTCAGGCTTCAGAAAGCGAAGCCTTTGGAGGCCGGCGCTTTGCTGGTACCATGAGCTTCTGAAGGGGGTTGCGGGGTTTAGGGTCTAGGGTTTAGGGGTTTAGGGGTTGAGGGTTTAGGCTTTAGGCTTTAGGGTTTAGCGTTCAGGGTTTAGGGGCCCTGTTGGGGCATCCAAAACTAGAAGGAGCGTTGGCCTCGAGGAAAGCAACCGAGCATTGCTCGGGTTTTGCATCTCCGGGCAAAGCTCTTAGGGAGCTTTTTTCGTGAGGGTACCTAAGACTAACCCTCAACCCTAAACCCCAACACCCTAAACCCTCTCTTCATGTTGCACTCGCGTTGGTATCAAGGCCCGCCCCCCCTCCCCCAACAATTTCGGGGTTTCTGTACACCCTAAACCCTAAACCCTAAACCCTAAACCCTAAACCCTAAACCCTAAACCCTAAACCCTAAACCCTAACCCTAAACCCGAAACCCGAAACCCTAAACCCTAAACCCCAAACCCTAAACGGGTTGGGGGCAGGGTGGCTAGAGGGCGAGGGTTGGGGGGAATCGGGCAAAAGAAGGGTTTAGGGTTTAGGGTTCAGGGTTCAGGGTTCAGGGTTTAGGGTTTAGGGTTTAGGGTGACTAATCCGGGTAACGGAAACAACATACCAAAGCGGATGAGGGCAGCTCGCGGGCTACTATATGCTGCCTTAAAAGATGTTTGGAGGCTTTTTTTCTCCTGAGGTTTTAAAACGGAACTCATATGAAGCCGGACTCCAGAAAACTCCGGAACCTGAAACTGAAATCGATCCAAGCTGTGAGGCTTGACCCCCTCCCTAAACCCTAAATCCCAAGTGGAAGGTGCAGCTACCTAACAGGGTCACAAGGGCTGGAGGGGGACAGTCTGCAGCCCTAAATCCTAAACCCAAGACCCTAAACCCAAACAAGTCAGAGCCTTGCGATTCCGAAATCTCCAGGTTTAGGGTTTGGGGTATCAGGGTTGAGGTTTGGCGCTGTGGGTTCAAACATTTTTCCAGTTCAGGGTTGAGGCTTTAGTGGGATTTAGTCAATACACCTTAAACCCTAAACCCTAAACCCCAAACCTCACTTTCAGTGGCTGCAGGCGGCACGACTGAGCATGCGGTACCTGGTCATGCGCATTCTGCAGCCGGCCATTCAATGACTTGCTTAGGGTTCAGGATTTAGGGTTTGGGGTTTGGGGTTTAGGGCTTAGGGTTTAGGGAAATCAGGTACCGCATGGAATCTCACAGAGGGTTTTTATAGGGGGCTATAAGGTACAACGCTTTCCCTTAGTCCCTACTAACAGCAGTCCAGGGCTTCGGGGACATCGGGTATCTGGACTGGGCCCACAGGGGTTGTGGGTTTAGAGTGTTGGACTAACCCGAAACCCTAAACCCTAAACCCTATTCCCTAAACCCTAAACCCTAAGCCCTTCGGGCTGAGGCCGAGGTGGGATTCAGGGAAGCTAGGATGACCGGGAGTGGACATCCGCTCTATGAAAACATGCCCCCTGCCACATGGAAATGGATCAAAAACCCCTGTTCCCAAATTTTGGGGTTTAGGGTTTAAGGTTTAGGGATCCCAAGATGGTTCTAGGTTAAAAGCTTGGGGATTAGCTTCGGGATTCGGTTAAGGAATGGTCTTTCGGGGGTTTAGGGTTTAGGGTTTAGGGTCTAGGGTCTAGGGTTTAGGGTTAGCCTAAACCCTAAACCGTAAATACCCCTAAGCCCTGAACAGGCGCTAAGCCCTGAACCAACCCTGAGGTTGGGGTATGTTTGGTTTAGAGTTTAGGGTGTAGGTTTAGGGTTTAGGGTTTAGTGTTTAGGGCTTCGGGTTTTTAATAAACACCCCACGAAAGGTACCCATGAACCTTTATCGGGGTTAGGGGTCTAGGGCCCTTAACTCCAAGGGCAGATACATGGTCCCTTAAGAGGGTCCCTTACCTTCCTTCTCAGGTTCTGAAGTAAGGGCTCTTGGGTTTTGGGTATATTATAAGGGGCATATAAGGGGTCCCCTTTTAAGGGCCCACGCTAAGGGATCATGCAACTATCCTAAGATAAACCTTATGACTGTCCCAAGCCAAGGTACACGGCTTTCTACGTCGGAGGCGTCAACGACGCCGTAGCGGTCCTCCGAAGCCTCGCGCAGCTTGGCGACTGAACAAACAGAACTTTGTGGTTGGCAGGTAACTTAATATAGTAATACAGGACACCACCCCGCAAATGTATCCTAAACCCTGGCTGCGTCCACGACGTCTGCCGCGCATTTTCGATGCGAGTGCTCAGATCTGGGTTGGACTAGCAAATCTTGAACTTGCAGAAGGTTTGTAGATTGCACCACGACCTATTAGATTCAGTACACAATGACATTGCAGAGGGTTTGCTGGCGTAGGCAAAATGATTACTTCGGGCAACACTGGCACTAATTTGCACGTGTGTTTTTTTCATCTTGCAGAACCAAGTTGCAAGACACAGATGTAAAGTTTCCCACGCAGCAGCTGCGGGCAAAGTTGTGTTTTTAAATGGCGGTAGTGTTTTTGTTTTGGTTTTTGGCTACATGAATTGTGGCAGCGGCCATCTATGTTGAGGCAAGAACGCTGCATATAGCAGTGTTCTGGGCATGTTCGCAAGCGGCATGAACACTTGTGACAGTGCGTCTGGTTGCAGAAACATCAAATATCTTCTGCAGTATACTTGATCAACGGCAGAAATGCGAAACAGTCCAGTAATGTGGGCATGTTCACAAAAGGCTTGTGACAGTGCGTCTTGTTCCCGAACTGTCAAACATTCTTCTGCATCATGTTGTATAAATGAACAAAAAGCTGCATTTGGGCATGATTGGAGTAACATAACCACCCAAACCCGCCCCCCCCCCCCCCCCCCCCCCCCCCCAACCCCCCCACCTCCCCAATTCTTCCAACCCCCCCCCCCCCCCAAACCCCCCCCCCAAACCCCCCCCCCCCCCCAAACCCCCCCCACCCCCCCCCCCCCTCCCCCCCCCCCAACCCCCCCCCTGACCCAGGTTTTGCATGGCAAACGTGGGAGACGTAGGACCTGAAACCCTAAACCCTAGACCTTTAACCCAAAACCTTAGCCAAGCTTCCATGCCCATCTTGTCCACGCCTGCTTTTGGGATGCTCAAGGCCTTTGGCCTTTGAGTTCCTTTAACCAAAGGGGCCCGCGATTTAGCTCAACCCTCAGTCAAAGTTTAGGGTAATGCGACGTTTTTGAAGGGTCATGGGTGGTAGCCGGGCAGTAGTGAAGCAGATTTCCTGACCACATCAACACAGGGGCGGTGCCCGTTGCCCAAAAAAACTGAATTAAGGAAAGGTGATTACTTCCCTTTTTTGCGGTTGCTCCCCACTTATCATGTGACCCATGAACCCAGAAGTAGTGTGTAAGGTGCCAACGGCCACAACCGGGGTGCAAGCGGTAAAGTCCCCAATCTGAAGGCTTTTCGGTCTTGGGGCGCCCACAACCCGAAGCCCCAAACCTTACAACTCGGCGGAGATTTTGAGGTGGATGGACAGTGTCTACTGCATCGCTCGCTTCTACGCGACTGCTCTCACAGCCACCAAGTGATCCGGCCGTGTAGGACCCCTTCCCCCTTCCCCTGGACCCCATCGGTTTGATGGCGCGCTGCTGAGCTGCAAAAAGTCCTTAAACCCCAAACCCCAGGCCCCGAACCCCTAAACCCCTAAACCCCTAAACCCAGTCCGAAATCCTTATTGTTCCCAGCAGCCCGAACCCCAAACCCTAAACCCTAAGCCCTGGGGGAGGGAGACTGGGTTTAGGCTTCTGGGGTCAGGTAAAAACAGGGTTGAGGTCAGGGTGTCGGGATGGGCGCTTAGGGTTTACGTAGAGTTTAGGTTTGTGGTTTGGGGTTGAGTTTTACGGGATCAGGGTTTAAGGTTTAGAGGTTAGGGGTTCTTGAGGGCTTAGGCTGATTAAGTCTCAATTCTCAATGTATGTCAATGGTTTCTGGAATCCCCCACCCCTCAACCCTGAACCCGAGCAACTCCAAACTCCAAACTCCAAACCTCCAAGCCCCGAAACCTCCAATCCCCAACCCCGAAACCCTAAAGCCCTGACCCAAAACAAAAACACAAGCCCCAAACCGTAAAACCTCTGATTCCTAAACCATGAACCTTAAAATCCTAAAACCCTAAACCCGAAACCATAACCCTAAAACCTAAACCCTAAATCCCAAAACCCTAACCCGAAAACCCATGAACAGCAAAGGTGGAGCCCTAAACCCTAAACCCTAAACCCTAAACCCTGAACCCTAAACCCTAAACCCTAAACCCTAAACCCTCCGGCCTCTTCCACCTTTTTCCCCACGCCCGCAGGTCATTCTGAGCCCTGGGCAGATGGCGGAAAGTGCGGGGGACCTTAGTGTGTAGGGTTTAGGGCTTAGGGTTTTGGGTTTAGGGCTTAGGGTTTAGGGCTTAGGGTGGTTGAGGTGTAGGGGTTTCGGGTCTCAAGGGTTTTGGGTTTTAAGGGTTACTCTTATGTCATGAGCTCAAGGGACTAAACCACGAAAGGAGGGACCCTTATAAGGAACCTTAAAGGTCTTTAGGGGGCTTACTTAGGGACTGCTTAGGTATACAGGGACTCTATAAGGTATACGTGGGGGTTATGTCGGGGAACAAGATGAAGGGTCCCTTCTAGGGGTCCTTCCTTACACCCCTTACTGAGCAAAGCCAGATACTCCGTATTCTCACGCCCAGAATGGGCGAGGACCCTCCTCAACCAATGGAGGTGCCACCGCCACCCCCACCCCACCCTAAACCCTAAACCCTAAACCCTAAACCCTAAACCCTAAACCCTAAACCCTAAACCCTAAACCCTAAACCCTAAACCCTAAACCCTAAACCCTAAACCCTAAACCCTGAACCCTGAACCCTGAACCCTGAACCCTGAACCCTGAACCCTGAACCCTGAACCCTGAACCCTAAACCCTGAACCCTGAACCCTGAACCCTAAACCCTAAACCTACACTGACACTTTCTTGGCTGGGGTGCACACTGTCTGTGCACAGGCCCCAAGTAAGCATCCCCAACATTCCGCCTTCAATGAAGGAACGTTTCAAAATTCATATGAAGTGGGGTATGTACTTCTTGTACCCCCAAAAAGGACACCATGTATATTATACACTCACCAAAAAAAGGAACCTTATATACACTCACCAAAAACAGTAATATAAACCCTGCTTCATATACAGCATCGCCCTAAACCCTAAACCCTCCCGCGGTTCGCGGACGTCGTGGCTTTTGCCAGGGCCATATGCCAGGGCGCGCGCCTGTTCTGGCGCCGGCAGGGTTATCCTGCGGAGCATGAGAAAAAACAGGCTTTAGGGTTTCGGGTTTAGGGTTTAGGGAGACAGCAGGTTCCCAAGAGGCATTAAGCGCTGCTGCGGTAGTTGCCTTGGCTTTCTGGAACCTGGGGCACCTGTCAGTGCAAGCACTTAGTTCACTCCCCTGCCCTGCCCGGAGATGACACATCCGTGTCTTTGAAATAACCCACAAACCCTAAACCCTACACCCTAAACCCTAAACCCTACAGGGACAAATGTGCATGTCTCCGCTAGGGGTAGGGTGTGGGCGATGTGGTCAATTTGGGGTTTAGGGTTTTGGGTTTCGGGGTTTACGAGGGCTTTGGGTCTTTCAGGGTTCAAGGCTTTGAGGGCAACTGGAAAACGGTCAACAAACCCTAACACCTAAAGCACCACTGTCTTGCTGACTGCTTGCTTTAGCTGAGGCCCATTTCATTGCCGTCGCCAGCGACGTCTTCAAGGCAACATGATCGCAGAGACACGCGTTTGGGTTTTGGATGTAGGGTTGAGGGTTCCTGGTGCCACAATGTCCTACCACTATGACGGCAGAGCCAGACTGGGACTGAATACATCAGCCACCATGACAGTAGGGTTTCCAAGTCCCAAACCCTCAGCCCCAAAGCCTACGCAATCTCACTCCCTAAACCATGGACCCTTGCGTGTGTTTTCAGGTTTAGGATCCAGGGCTTCGGCGACTTCGGAGTATTGAGGGTCCGGGGTTTCCAGGGTTTAGGAGTCAGAGCCTCGGTTTTCGGGCTTAGGGCTTAAGAATTGGAGTTTACAGTTCAGGGATCAGCGCTTCGGGTGCAGGCTGCAAGCAGGGTTCAAAGAGTTTGGCCTCTTAGTTTATGGCGTTTGGGGTTTCTGCTGTAACTGCCTCAAGCCCTAGGAGCCCTAAGCCCTAAACCCAGCCTCTGGGAAGAAAGCTCTCAGGCGTAAGTTCCCGAACCTTGAAACCGTAGGATCCCCTCAGGGCTTCAGGTTGAGGGTTTCGGGTTTAGGGTTTAGGGTTTAGGGTTGTTTGGTTTAAGGTTCAAGCTTGAGTTGAGGGTTTAGGGCAGGGTAATGAACCTTCAGCTAAAGCCCTAAAACCTAAAACCCTAAACCCTAAACCCTAAACCCTAAACCCTAAACCCTAAACCCTAAGCCCTCGACCTGCAAGCTGGAAGCCCGAAGACCGAAGAAGCCCCATTGGGGCAAACAAGAGAGGGTGCGGGAATCTGAAGCGCAGGTCATTGCTCTAAAAAAGAGGTCTTCAGGGCTCTTAGTAGGTAGCCCTCAATCCAAAACCCTAAACCCTACAAAAAGGACGTTCTGGGTTCTTATAACTTGGTAGCCCAGTGGTACCCTTGACCCTTTTTTGTGGTTCTGGGTTCCCTTATAAAGGAACCAACCAAACAAAGGGTACCCTTGTTGCAATAGTTTAGGGGTAGCTGCGTTCCCTTTCCTGGACAATGCGGCAGAAGTCCGACCAGGGGTCCCTTGATCAGCACCAACCAGCCCTCTCTAAACCAAAAAAGTAAGGGTTTAGGGTTTCGGGTTTAGGGTTCAGGGTATAGGGTTCCGGGTATAGGGTAGCCCTCCAGAACAGCTCTTGGCCCTCAAGCTCCTGAGCCATTGCCAGGGTGCCTTTCGCTTCGAGTGCTATGCCTACCCGGGACACTACCTGGCCTTCTTCCCGCCCACACACTTACGCGTGGGGGCCCCTGGACGTTTTTTTTCCGAGCAAGCTTTGGTACGGTTGCAAGTACAGGAGGTGCGTCACAGAGAGGTCCGATGCTCAGTCAGTCCACCTTCTATTGCGAAAATGCAGTTGCAACCCATCTGGAGACGTGAGCGCTGAACTCTCCAGTTTCACATCAAGTCTAAGGTTGCCTTGGACAGTCAGACTAGCTCAACCGGAATTCGGGAATTTGGTACCTTATGTCCCCTACCAAACCTATTCAAGGAACTATACAGGCACCACGATGGTCAATCCCACGATGTAGTTCGTCTCCACAGGTGGTTGGTGGAACAGTCGACGAGAAGACGGCCATCGACTTCATGCGCTTCCCTCATTTCGGAGAGATTACCTACGGACCTAGACCCTCCCCTCCTCAGTTGTACTTCCTATTTGGGCGTTCTTATTCGGATTGTGCAAGGAGTAGACCGGGCGGAGAAGAGTTGAGTTTAGAATCTAACAACCCCACACCGGGGGTGCGGAAAAATACCCCCAAGGCTCCAGAAAACCCGCTGAGCTGAGGCTTGTTGACTACGCCAAGATGTTTCAGTACATCACCGTGGAGGAGGTGCACCTCTCGCGGAAGCTCCCGTGGCCGAAAAGGAATATGACCTTATAAGCTCATACAATCTCCCCGCCCTTACAGAACCTCATGACCCTGACCTATGGGGTTCCTCAACAGCAAGTTCCCAGGAAGAGGTGCAGAGTTGTGGGGGTCTTAGGGTCGATCCGAACCATGGGCCCTTTCCACCCTAAACTCTAATCAAGGAATCTCCTGGGCATGCCCATGAGTGCAGGGGCTTGTAAGGTTGAGATGCTGTTCCCTATCAACCCTTCTATAGCTCCTCCCGGCCCTCCCTCCCGGTTTTACACCTAAACCCTAAACTCTAAACCCCAAACCCTACACCCTAAACCCTAAACCCTAAACCCCAAACCTTTACAAGCCGCCTTCGATCGCCGCAGGTCCTCACTCCCGCGGCGACGAACCTAGGGGCGAAGACGGACTTCGCCCACGCCTTGGAGTAGCCATGGGGGGTTGGTTTAAATTAGGGTGTGAGGGTTGAGGGTTTAGGGTGTAAGGGTTTAGGGCTTAGGATTTGCGGGTCTAGGGTTTTGGGTTCAGGGCTAGGGTTTAGGATGTAGGGTGTCACGGGTCCGGTTTAATTAGGCGTCTGGTTTGAAGCTCTCGGCTTTAGGCTTTACTGTTTAATTAGGGCCGAACATGGAGGAACTGTGGAGAACATACCCCAAATCCCAAACCCCAAACCCTGAACCCAACACTCTGGGATAGCAAGTGCCCCTAGACCTCTAGACCTTGATGTGATTTGGCACAGCAGCTCCGGGGTACCTGAACAAACCTGTAAGAGATGGGTGTTCATGCAGACCCGCCCCAATGCCTGAACCCTAAAACTCTATAAACCCTCCTAAACTCTCCAAACCCCAAGTGAACCCTCAACCCTAAACCCTAAGCCCGAAACCCTAAACCCTAAACCCTAAACCCTAAACTCTGCCATCAGCCGCCAGCTGAAGTCCAGTCTTTGGCTTCCCTTCGCAGGTGTCCTTGGACGACCTGCGCGCGCTGCCCCAGCCCGGCAGAGTAGGGCTTAGGGTTTAGGGTTTAGGGTTTAAGGTTTAGGGCTTAGGGCTTAGGGCTTAGGGTTTAGGGTTTAGGGCTTAGGGTTTAGGGCTTAGGGCTTAGGGCTTAGGGCTTAGGGCTTAGGGCTTCGAGCTTGGGATGGCTTAGGGCTTAGGGCTCAGGGCTTGGGGCTTAGGGCATAGGGTTGAAGTGTGCAGGGCTTAGTGGTGTCAAGAGGTGTTTAGGGTTTGTGGCCCCTAAGCCCTAGACTCTGAACCCTAAACCCCAGACCCTCACCTCAGGATTGAGCCTCTCAATCACCGGAGGCTGCTTTGGGCTCCAGGGGCCCCACACCACAGCCCCCCGCAAATGGGATTTTGGGGCTTTAGGGGGGATTTCAGGGTTTCAAGGGGCCTACTGCTATCAGGACTTTAGGGCTTCAGGGACATCAGGATTCTTTAGGGTGTTGGGGGCTTGAGGATAGGATTGGAAGGGCTGTTCGGAAACTCCGGGTCGTTGAGCAACCTTTGTTGGGCACTGTAAACTCTCTTAGAACGTTATTCCCTTTTTGTAGGGTTGAGGGTCCTCTACAAGCCCCATGAAACCAAAAAGGATACTCTTGTTATTCCTTGGCAACTCTTGGGACCCCAAACCCTCAAAACCCGAAACCCTAAACCCTAAACCCTCAAACCCTAAACCCTAAACCCTAAACCCTAAACCCTCAAAACCCCAAGTTAGATTTGGAGTTCCTCCTCGCACCTTTGCGGCCATGGCTGCATCAGATGCGGCTCCCAGGACACAAGCTGTGTTGGCTTTAGCCGCTTTTTGTTTCAAGGTTTAGGGTTTAGGGTTTAGGGTTAGGGTTTGGGGTTTGGGGTTTAGGGTTTAGGGTTTAGGGTGGGGAAGTTTGCGCTCAAACCAACCACACAAAGCCGAAAAGCACTCTGAAGCCCCAAGACCTTGAAGCCTGAGACCCTCAAGCCCTGAAGCCTGAGCCCCCTAAACCCTAAACCCTAAACCCTAAACCCTAAACCCTAAACCCTAAACCCTAAACCCTAAACCCTAAACCCTAAACCCTAAACCCTAAACCGTGGGTTCTGTGGGGCAGACAAGGGGCCCTGGAAAGTACCCAGAGGGCTAGTTGCCCCGAAGCCCTAAAACCCTAAGCCTCTACACCCTACAACCCTACTTGAAGCATGTGCTCGAAGTACCTCGCTGAGTCGCCTGAGTGCCCCAAGTAGGGCCATGACCAGCCACACTAGTCCCTAAACTTATCCTACTTAGAACTCCAGTTATTTTTCTCTAAACCACGTTCGCGACCAAGGGGGGTTCCCTTCTTTCACGTAGGCTACTGGGGAAGCCCCGCAACCCCACTCTAAAACCAAAGCCCTTCAACACGTTGAAAACCTCGCCCCAATGACAATCCCCCCTCCTCCACCCCCCGAAGCAAGAACTCTCACACACAATAATGTTTGTAAGCATCAGCATCATCATCATATTCTTCTACATTTTCTTCATGTTCACCTTCATCCTCTTCATCTTCATCTTCATCTTCATCTTCATCTTCATCTTCATCTTCATCATCATCTTCATCTTCATCTTCATCTTCAGCTACATCTTCATCTTCATCTTCATCTTCATCTTCATCTTCATCTTCATCTTCATCTTCATCATCTTCATCTTCATCTTCATCTTCAGCTACATCTTCATCTTCATCTTCATCTTCATCTTCATCTTCATCTTCATCTTCATCTTCATCTTCATCTTCGTCTTCTTCTTATTCATCTTCATCAGCATCATCTCAATCATCATCATCGTCTCCTTCTTCATCAGCATCATCTTCATCATCATCGTAGTTTAAGAGCCGGTTCAATCTGCCGACACCGCAGGAGAAACGGTTCAGGCGGTTCAGGGTTCAGCGTTGAAACAGGGGTATATATTTGGCGGGGTTTCTGTAAGGAGGGTCCACGAAGCAGAGCGGGCAGGGTCGTGGACTCTTGTTTGTTTCTCGGTTTCTCAGAGAGGATCTTAAGGGCTTCGCGTTTGAAGAATAGGTGAAGACAAGTGTCGGTTTAGAGTTCCAAAGGGGTCCGTCAGGGGTCGGGGGTTGCAGTCGAGGCTGCAAGAGGTCGCCAGGGCAGTCTGTCGAATTCAGAGGGCGGAAAATTATTGATCGAGGAACCCCCCTGAAAGAAAACATTGAGGTGTTTAGTGGGATCCAGACCCCTGAGCATACCCTTGGCAAATGTGGACCCGATAGAGCCTTCTGCAAAGACGCAAAGGCTTTGGTTTTGTGTGGAGCGCTCGCGACCTGAAGAAAATCGGAAACCAATCTTCGGTCAAAGGCCGTCTGTCTCAGGAAATCTCAGGTGGCCCGAAGCATGTTCACCTGGTGGCCATGGTCCTTGAGTTCGCGCAGCACGGGTTACGGAAAAAACTGCCCACCCTCCCCCCCCCCCCAACACGTTTACGGTTTTTCCAGACTCCACCAAATTTAGGAGAGTCGGGGAGGACGGGGTTGGGTTAAAAGGAAAAAACTGCCGGGGTACCCCCCACCCCTCCCCGGACCCCCGGTGACGCGCGATTTGGGGTGTAAGGCGGGCAGAAGGAAGGTCTTCACCTCTCAAACCCATCCAACACGCCGCCGGGGTCGGCAGATCATAATCGTAATAGTCAGAAGAATCATGATAATCATCATAACAATAATAGTAGTAATAGTAATTCGTCGATAGCAGAACAATGCATGATGGAATACCTGATAGTTCTAACCATCAAAGAAAATGTCAGAATAAGCTACAAGGGCCCTCAAACCTTTTCCTGCGCAGGATGGAGAGCCTAAGCGAAGGTGACCCAGGGAGCTGGGAGTTAGGGCTTTGGGTGTTGAGGCTTGTTGGGGATTTAGGGTTTAGCCTGTGGGGTTTGGGGTTTAGGGTTAAGGGTTTGTTTGGAAGTTATGTTGTTTTTTGTGTTCGTGGCGGCCGTGCGGGAGGAGAGGGTTTGCTTTAGAAGTGAGCCTCTCAACGATAAGCCGTGATCTTTCCCCTTGATAGTACCAGCACTGTGGTCAGGGATTGAGTTGAAGTTTGTGTGTCAAGATCTTGGGGGGGTCGTAAATCAACCCTACACCCTAAACCGTAAACCCTAAACCCGGAACACTGCTGTGAACCACCTGGGGCTCTCGTATGCCAGCTGGGTTCTAATGATGTGGGACTTGTGTCGTGAATTGGGAGGTTTGGGGTTTAGGGTTTGGGGGTTTAGGGTAGCGGGGTTCGAGTTTTGGGAAAGAGTTTGGGGTGTAGGGAGTATTGAGGAGTCTGGCAAGTTCCCACGGCATGGTGAAGTGGCAGGACTACCACGTACTGCGTACTCCCTAAACCCTAAACCCTAAATCCCAAATCCTAAAATACCCTAAACCCTAAACCCTAACCCTAAACTCCCTGCCGGGGTTAGACCCTAAACCGTGCCGCTGACGGTGTGTGGCCCTCTCAGGGTTCCCCTCGTAGGATTTTTGCTGTTTTTTTAGAAACTCCAGTGAATATGGAAACTTAGCTTTAAACATCGTCGATGTTGAACAAGCTTAAACATATCCACGTCGACATAAGCAACCATCACACACATGTGGGGGCTTACGAAATTAGAGGTACCGTATTGGGTCCCTCATATAAGGTAATCCTATTATTTAGGGGTCTTTATTACCCCTATTTTCGTGAACCCCCCCCCCCCCCCCCCCAATATTGTCATAGTTCTAAGTGTGTGCGTCTTAGGGCTGCGGGCTCTGTTCAAGAGGCAGCGCGCTGCCCCCGGCGCTGGCGCGCTGCCGCCACAGCATTCTTTCAGTGGCCCTGCCAGAAGAGAAGTTCCAAAAACCCTGAAAGCTTAACCCTACTTGGAGGCTCATGGGTACTTATAAGTAGCGTTATAAGCAGGGTAACTATGGCATAACCTTATTTAGGGTACTTATAACCCTACTTATAAGTTCCCATGAACCTCCAAGCAAACCCTGAACCCGGAGACCTAGACCCTTGAGACCCGTGAAGGTGGTCTGAATATGCCCCCCCCCCCCCCCCAAGAAGGTATGTGTCCGGAGGCAACCTTGAAGCAAGCAGAGGCTGATCCCAGACCTCACATCTGGCCCATCCGCTTTCACGCCATTTCCATGGCTGTGATGATTCGGTGCGGTACGGTATTTCATTTTTGCTGGCAGGGGTGGCAGGGGTGGTAGGGGTGGTGGGGAGTGGGGGTGGGAGGGTGGTAGGGGGGTGGCAGGGGGGTGGTAGGGGTGGTAGGGGTGGTAGGGGTGGTAGGGGTGGTAGGGGTGGTAGGGGTGGTAGGGGTGGTAGGGGTGGTAGGGGTGGTAGGGGTGGTAGGGGTGGTAGGGGTGGTAGGGGTGGTAGGGGTGGTAGGGGTGGTAGGGGTGGTAGGGGTGGTAGGGGTGGTAGGGGTGGTAGGGGTGGTAGGGGTGGTGGCTGGGAGTGGTGCGGGGGGGCAAGGGGGTGGTGGGTACTGCGGCTGTTCAACCGTAAACTAAGCACCCCAAACCCTAAACCCTAAACCCTAAACCCTAAACCCTAAACCCTAAACCCTAAACCCTAAACCCTAAACCCCAAACCCCAAACCCCAAACCCCAAACCCCAAACCCCAAACCCCAAACCCCTCCACCTAAACCCCTCCCAAAGGTGAAACCTGGCCCCCTGAGGTTGGTGCCTCGCGCTTGCGCGTGTCCGTGGCGCCACCTCCTGCGGAACGGCCACCCGAGGACCCCCGGAAAGGGTTCATAGGGTTGAGGGTTTACGGTTTAGGGTTTAGGGTTCACATGGTTTGAGGGGTTAGGGTTGGGGTTTCGAGTTTAATTAGGGTTAATGGGTTGGGGTTCGGGGGTTCAGGATTTGATTGGAGTTTTCGGGTTGAAGGCCCAGCCTGAGTTTAGGGTTTAGGGTTCAGGGTTCGGGTTTAGGGATTTCAAAGAACGTTTTCACAGGCCGCTGCAAAGAAGAAAAGCCGTGTTTTCAACAAGGAGACGAAGCTTAATTGATCTGAACAAAAATAAGGAGTCTGCACCCAAAACTAGAGAAGTTTCCTGAACCAAACAGTTCATAAACCCAGACTCTGGGAGGATTTGGAAAGTAGGGCCACGGAGTGTATCTGATCGCAGCTTGAAAGCGGGATCTACACTTAAGATCCTCTTTTTGCAGCATTTTTTGGCTGGCTAACTTTAGTGTTTTAGGGTTTGATAGGGTTTGGGGAGACTGGAGCGCAATTGTAGAGACCTTGGATGGCTCATCCCTGCTGTATGGTTTGGGCTTTTAGGGGGGTTCATAGGGCTTTGTGAGGCTTGATGGGGTTCTGAGGACTGTGTCGGTTGATGGGGCTGACCTGCTGAGGTTTATAGAGGGCTTTGCGGCTTCAGACCCTTGACCCTACCAAACCCTGAACGCTAAACTCAAATGCTCAGTAGTGCCCTTATTCCTTCAGGGGGGGGGGGGGGTTACCCGCTTGAACACGAAAGGCTGCCTGGTTATTCCTAGCTTACCCGCCAGCCTAACTCTTGGGGTCAGGGTTTAGGTTTTAGGATTCAGGGTTTAGGATTTATAGGTTACGCTTTCGAACTAAGAGGTAGCGTCATGAACCTGCAGGCGAACGGCAGTGCAGTTCAACCGCAACCCTGCAAATTAGGCTTGCAGGACTCTTCATCAAGAGGTTTAGGGTTTAGGATTTAGGGTTTAGGGTTTAGAGTCTAGGGTTTAGGGTTTTTGAAGAGCCTCAGGCCATAATCTCAAGGCACTGCAGGCGCGAGGAGCCCCTAAACCCAAACCCTGCATCCCCAAACCTCGACCCTACATATCCATAAGCCCTGGGTGAACCCTAAAACCCCAAACCTTAAACCCTAAGACCCTGAACCCTGAGCCCTAAACCCTAAACCCTAAACCCTGAGACCCTGAACCCTGAGCCCTAAACTCAGCGGACATCCCTGGGAAACTCTCCAGGCACTTCTGTACATCCTCGACCCCGAACCTGCGGCTTGGGAGCAAGAGAACGGCCCTTCATGTATGGAGGTTTTGGGTTTGGGGTCTGGGGTTTAGGGTTTTGGGCTTTGGGTTTTGGGTTTTGCTTGTAGGCGTGGGGTTTAGGGTATAGTGGGTGGGCGTTGACCTCTTTGCGGAAGTTACGCATTCCCTTTGATAAGCCCACAGCTCAACACCTCTTCGCCGGGAGATTTGTTCAGCCATTCAGGGTAGCGGGGGGCTTGGGGATTCTGAGGCCCCCCAGCACCACAAAGTCCTAGTTTTCTCTGAGAAACCCGGTCACGGATGTTCCCCCTCCTACTAACCAGTCCTGAATAGGAATAAAGTACCCCCTATTATGATCCCTTTTTAAGGACTGTTAGTATAAGGGGGAACATCCCAAGATAGCAAGTCTCTGGTTTGGGCCCGAAGACCTACAGAGCTCAATACAGCCCATCGAGCTGTACATGTTTTCTAAACCCTGCACAGTGAAGCCTAAATCTGTAATCCCTAAACCCCAAACCCCAAGCCCTAAACCCGAAGCCCGAAGCCCTAAACCCTAAACCCTAAACCCTAAACCCTAAACCCTAAACCCTAAACCCTAAACCCTAAACCCTAAACCCTAAACCCTAAACCCTAAACCTAACCCTAAACCCTAAACCCTAAACCCTAAACCCTAAACCCTAAACCCTAAACCCTAAACCCTAAACCCTAAACCCTAAACCCTAAACCCTAAACCCTAACCCTAAACCCTAACACCTGCACACCCAGGAGCTCTTTGCCATCGCAGTGCTGCACCACGCAGCCCTTGCGGCCAAGCAGGCAACCCTGCAAGAACCCCTGTGTATACTTTGAAGGTTTAGGGTTTGGGGTGTAGGTTTTTAGGGTTTGGGATTTAGGGTTTAGGGTTGAGGATTAGGGGTTTAGGGTTTGGGGTTTAGGGTTTGAGGTGTGGGGTTTAGGGTTTGGGGTTAAGGGTTTAGGGTTTGGGGCTTAGGGTTTAGGATGTAGGTTTGGGGTTTAGGGTTTGGGGTTTAGGGTTAATTAGGGTTTAGGCTGCATTGCTTAGGGTTTCTACACAGCACGTGGCCCTACAGCAGCCGCATGTTTCGAGGGTCCTTTCCAGCGCCCTCCTTTAGTACCATGTGGTTTAGATCTCCTCTGCTTGATG